TAGGGCCCCTCGGGGAAGGGGAGGGTGACATTACCTGCAGCCTCTCTCCCCTCCCAGTCCTCCCTCTCAGGTGCCCGTCCTGGCTGGCAGAGGGTCTCCTCCCACCCAGACTGAGGGGCCTTTGCCTGGGTCCTGCTCCCTGGCTCCCATTTCCCCTGGGTTCACCACCAGAATTCACCTTCAGTTTTTTACCTATGTGTCCAGCCATCCTTCCATAGCAGTTTGTAATGCTGGGTCTCAGATGCAGAGTGTCGATTTTAACAAAATTCCTCAGTTTGGGCCCATTTTCTTTGTTAGCTCATGTGAGCCCCTTCTTGGATTTTTTCTTCTTTATTTTGCTGTTTATCTTCTCTTTTGCCCCCACCCCCAAAGTCAGCCTAATATGTTTAATGTGTATCTGTTTCTCATATATATTTTTGCAAAATGGGTATTTTCTGTTTGCATGTGTTTTCATTTACTTAGAGGATAATGTATATTTCATACTATTGCTTTTTTGGTTTTTGCATGAAAAACTGTTTTTGAGATCAGTCAGTGTCTGCAGGTGAGCATCCAGTCCTTGCTTCCACCTGCTGCCAAGTGATGGTGTGTGCACCCACCAGGCTTTACCTTTCTCTCCCCTGGGTAGGCACCCGGGGATCCCCAATCCTCCCACCAGCACAAACAGCCTCTGACCACCGCCTGCCCTCTGACCCCTGTGCACTCACCCTTTGTTCTTCCTCAGGGCTCACCCTGTCATCCAACGCTGCCCTGGGCTCGGCTGCATCTGCCCTGGGGTCCATGCTGGGGACACTGAAAGCCTCCTGTGTCCTGGGATCCCCCATGGCAGCCCTGACTGCTTGCCCACTTGGAGGTAACTGGCCTTGGGCCCCCACTGAGCACACAGAAGTGTGACAAGAAAGTTAGGACCTGGGCCACCGCCAACAGTCCTTCCTATTTGTGAGAAATAAGGAGGATCCTCAGCTGGTGATCAGAAAATAAGAACAGCTGGATTTTCTCAAACGAGTGACATCTTAGTCACTAGGCTTAGCATTTGACATTGATCAATTGGTTTCATTCTCATAACAACCCCAGAAGAGCTAATATTGTCCTTTATTTACAGACGAAGATACTACTGTGGTCCTGGTCAGGTAACTCAATTGGTTAGAGTGCCAAGGTTGAGGGTTCGATCCCCAGCCAGGGCACATACAAAAATCAACCAATGAATGCATCAACAACATTCAGTGGAACAACAAGTCAGTGCTTCTTCCCCCCCCCCCCCGCCTCTCTCTTCCTTCCTTCCTCTGAAATCAATTTTTAAAAACATTCTTTTTTTAAAAAAAGAAAGAAATCATTGTGCAGGAGCCCTGGGCAGGAAGGGAAGGTCAGGGCGCTGGGAACTGAATTAGAAAGGAAATGCAGAGGCTTGGCCTTGGGAGGAGACCTCAGGCAGGGCAGTTTCTGAACTGCACAGAAGGGCCAAGCCACCCTCCCCAAGGGGGACCACTGGGGCCGCCTGCCTCGCACGCAGGTTGTCAAGCAGCACCCATTTCCCCTGGGCCTTCTGATATTGGGGCCCCGGAACACCAAGTCACAGGCCCGGCATCCCCTCTCCAGCTGAGCAATAGCAATAAGCGGCAAGCCCATTCTAACTGGGCTCTTGATTTTTGAGTCATACCCCAGCCCGGTGACCGCTCTGACCGTTCAGTTTGGGTTTACATACCCTGTCTCTTTACTTTCTCCATCGTCAACTCAAGGCTCTCTCCCTGGAGAGCAGGCTGAGCTCACTCCCGCACGTCTTGCTATCTTCAGAACTCCTGGCCCCCACTGGACTCAAAGATTGCAGTCCTGGCCACTATGGCTGCAGCAGACAAGACGGCTGTTTGCTCCCCAGGGACCCACAGAGTTGGAGAGCCAGGCCCATGCACGCCTAAATATGACCCGAGCCCTGGCTGGTACACCAAAAGGTTGCTGGCTTGATTCCCAGGCAGGGCACATGCCTGGGTGGGTGCGGGAGGTAGCCAATCGGTGTTCTGCTCTCACATCGATGTTTCTCTTTCTCTCTCCCTCTCCCTTCCTCTCTCTCTAATCGAACAAACAAAATCAATGAAACTATTTCAAAATAGTAACAATAATAATAATATGATCCAGTGTTGTGAATTGCTCCTGCCCCGGGGGAGCAAGGATGAGTTCTGATTGGGAGGATCTGGGGTGGCTTCCTGAAGGAGGGGGCAGCAAGTCAGGCCCTGAAGAATCAGGAGCCTTCAACTCATTCAAGCATTCAACAGCCCTTGCCTGACTTCAGTCAGGCAGTGCACATGAAGCACATTCTCTCTACGTGAGGGCTGATGGCTGACTGAAGAGCTTTTTAAATTCCCCACTACGCAAGCATTGACCCTATTTTAGATGAACTAACATCCCAGCCCAATCAAACTACCGCGCCCTGAATTACTTGGCCGGGGATTCCGCCTTTGCTGAGAAGATGCTGCAGCCGCTTGCTAGGATTTTGTTTTCGTTTTGTTTTTGGTGTTAACCAAACCTGGCCTGAAAGACAGAGAAAAAGAAAGATAACTTCTGATCTCCCCACAAACCCCAACCAATGAGCAGGCAGATAAAACCAACCAAAACTGTACACTACGACTGAATTTTCAGGCACAAGGACCTCAAAGCCCGTCTCCAGATGCCTCTAGGCCAAGGCTGCACATCCACTTAGGATGGGTGACCAGACTCCCCAGCAATGCTCACCACCCTCTCCCCTCTTAGAAATCCCGCTTCTCTGAGTAAAGGGGGGCAGGCGTGGGGAGTATCAGGCAGGGTCATTCCTTCCTGTGCTCTTCACCTTGGGGAAACCCCCTCCCCATGGGTGGGCCATGAACTCAGGGCGTGGAGGGGAGGCCAGTGTGGATCTACTCACAGAATGTTCTTTTGGTTTTCAGCCAAGGCTGCTGCAGTTGTCATCGGCGGAGGTAAGTTTCTTTAGGGAAGGGACTCAAGTCCCTGTCTTTCCCCAGACTAGGGGCCTTGTGCTCCGCCCAGGTTTGCCCCAGGCCTCACATAGATGGTAGGGAAGGAGATGAGCAAGAGGCAAGTGACTGGAAACAAGAAGCAGTGTGTGGAGGCAGCCCTGGCGGGGCCGTGTCTCCTCTTTGCAGACCATTAGCTCTGTGACCTTGGAGGTTTCTGTGAACCCCTCTAAGCTCCCATTTCCTCCTCTGACAAATGGGCCAACATTGCCCATTTAGGGCTATCCTGAGGGTTACCTAGGACGAACCGTGTGTAGTCAGAACAGAGGCAGGGCAGTAAAGAGTTGCTATCTGCTCAGCGGCCCTGGGCGCAGTGGCTTCTGATTACTCTGTGGTGACACCATGGGGCCCTGGGGTTGGGACTCATGCAGGGATCAGGATGCACTCCTTGCTTATGCTAGGCCTGGGTGAGTGGGATTGATCATATTAAAGATTTCTTCGGCAAAGACATGGAGCTGGTGAGCCACACCCTAGTTTCTGCATCTTACTGATGGAGACATGGAGAACCAGAGGACAAGTGGCTTTCCCAAGGAAGGTCCTACTGCAGACCAGAGCCGGGCCTGGAGCTCTGTCCCTGGCAGCCCCACAGCCCTTCCTGCTTTCCCCACCCATCCTGTGACTGCTGGCCTGGCCCGTATTCTCTCCCAAGTTCAGAGTTCACCCTCTTCTTCACCCCTCGAGGTCCCCCAAGCTTGACCCCGTGTGTGTGTGTGAGGGGGAGATCTGTTTCTCTGAGTGTCACCTTGACCCAACTCCTTTCCCTGGACAGCTGTAACTGTGGGCGCTGTGCCCGTGGTCCTGGGCACCTTGGGCTTCACCAGCGGAGGAATCGCTGCCTCCTCCATAGCGGCCAAGATGATGTCCGTGGCCGCCATCGCCAACGGGGGAGGGGTTGCCTCTGGCAGCCTTGTGGCTACTCTGCAGTCCATTGGTGAGTGTCCCTGGTGGGGCGAGAAGGGCCAGAGCTTCAGATGGTCCAGCCCAGATCCTACCCCCAGCAATCCTCAGTCTCTCCCAGCCTCCGTCTCACCCTCCATGTCCTCTCTCTGGGTTTCTCTGAAGGAGACATAGGAGAGAGGGAAGGAGGCATGGCCTGGGCTGTGCAGGTTCAGGTGGGCCTGCTGGGTTACCTGGAGCGCCTTCATCCCACCTGGGGATCAGCCTCCTTCCCTGGAGAGCTAGGCAGCTTCCAGCTCTTGGTTTAACCCCTGGAGTTAATGCCACTGGGTAGCTGCCTGCAGCAGTCCCCCCCCCCCCCC